TTCGACTAGATAACAAATTAAAGGTCAGCTTGAAAGGCTGCTTCTTACCTTCAAATATGTGTTTTTAGAATGCGTTCGGTGCTAGAAACGACTCATACGCTGGTCCTAGAGAGTGTTGGAGGAACTAGGGACTAAATACAACTTGGAAATACTGCATATTTATTTTCTAGCTGGTTTTGTTGCAGAAAATATTTTCATTAAAAAAAAAAGAAAATAGGAGCATATATAATAAAATGGGAGCCTTAACCAAATGTTTACCTTTGAGCAATTGTAGTGATACGTCAGCCATGTTATTAGTGGCTAAAACCCCAATAGCGAATAGGAAAATCTAGAAAAAGAATAGCTCCAGAAGATTCCTGTAGTGGCCACCTTCTGGGGAAATAAGCTGCGTTGTAATGTACGCAGTATGACAAACGGGGACTCTGGCCATTGACTGGGCCTGATGGCAGGAGGCATAAAAATGAAGACAGTGCTGAAGTTTAAGAGCCCATGGATTATGAGAGAACTTGATTTGGGTACATTTTTGCCCCGTGACAGGGGCAGTAAGAAGCCAGCAGTCCTTCTCCCTACAAGTTCCCACTCATGGCAAAATGGCTGGGAGAAATGGTTGTTTTAAAATTGGAGGAAACTTCCTTCATGGGCAAAACTTCACTGTGGCTTTGTGTGTTTAGGCAAATAGGGCGAGATCTAACAGACTGTGGAAGGCTAGCACCTCTGACTGCTTGTGTATGAGTGTCTGAAAATTGAGTCACTACCCTGACCACAGAAAGCTTGTCACTTCTGACAAGGGAAGGAACCTTTTCTTACCGCTGAGATTTTGAAATAGTGGTAAGAATACTTGCTCTGTACTTGTTTGTTTCATAGAAGCACTTAGATTGCTGAATCTTTTGACCTTCTGTGCAACCACGTACTATCAAAACATAGGCCCTGGACAGTGAAGGGGATCGATGCCGTTTTAAGTTTGGAATTGTATCAGAGGAACAGAAAGATTCTGTTATGGGTTCTTGCCGTTACATGATAGTTGGCTGATAGATCAAGTCACATATCAAACTAAGCCCTGAATAACTTGGCCCATATCTCTGGCATTTAAAACTTTGCTGCTGCCCTAACCGGTTTGGCTCAGTGGATAGAGCGTCGGCCTGAGGACTGAAGGGTCCCAGGTTTGATTCCGGTCAAGGGCATGTACCTTGGTTGCGGGCACATCCCCAGTAGGAGGTGGGCAGGAGGCAGCTGATCAATGTTTCTCTCTTATCGATGTTTCTAACTCTCTATCCCTCTCCCTTCCTCTCTGTAAAAACTCAATAAAATATATTTAAAAAACTTTGCTGCTATTACATGGGATATGTAATAATGCTTCTCTATCAGGGTGGTTTCACACGGCATATAATTGAGTAAAGTCTCTCTATGAAGGCTGCTATCTGTTCTGTCTGTCCTTTAGACTGTGAGTTCTTGCTTTGTAATGTAATGCTCTGGAAACAATAATGGGCCCCAAGTGAGGTGGCAGCAGTTTGCAACATGTAGTAATGCCCGAGGAGTCAGGGCAGTTTGGGCTTGGACAGAGCTGTCACACAAAGGCATGGTTGGGTAACAATCTTTCAAGGTGATTTTGGTGACTGTGCCAGAAAAGTCACATTTGTGTGAGCTTGGGCCAGAACTCTGAAGGCAAAATGGAGGGATCACCAGGATGAGTTGGGTATTTTTGGCTGGTTTTGTTTCAGCAGGATGAAATAAAAACTGAACCTGTGCAGGTTAGCTGAGCAATTACTACAAATCCTTCACTTGACTAGAAACCCAAGGTCTTAAGTAAGGCAAACAACAGTGCTCACAGCAGCCAAAAGTAATGCCATTAAGTCCACCAGGGCCTCACCCAGTGCCTATTGCCTGTTGGTTTAAACGTCTTTGAATGAAAGTCCAGTACACAGTACATCAGAACTCTTCCTCTTAGTTGGCTATCACGCACGATTCATTCATTCAACCAATACTTAGGTCTCACTCTGGGCTAGGTTTTCATCTCTCAGTTCTTAGATGTCATTTCCTCAAGGTGTCCTTTGGAACCCCCTAAATTCGGTCCAATACTTCCCCCTTTAAGATAGTTATCACACTTGTTTTAAGCTAAGATGTAAGTCTCCCTAGGTAAAGAGTGTCTCATTCACGACTATATTTCCAGTGATTAGCACTTACTTGACTTAATCCTGTTACATAAAGTTTTCTTCAAAAAAATAGGTGCCAAATATATGAATAAAGGAATAAGAAAAAGTAAGTGAGAAGGACCTGGATGGTTAGAGGTAGCCATTGCAACAGTGAAAAATAGCGCCAGATATCAGGGACGGGGCAGAACATACAGGAGCCTTGAAGCTGTCCCTCCATTTCAGCCCAGCTCAACCATTTACATTTCTAAGGATAACTTTGGTTCCCCAAGAAGAATGTACTCAGTAGCATCTGTTTAAAATAATAGGGAAGACTACAAATCATTTTATAACGATTTTTATCCAAGAAAGTAATAGTTTTCTTACTTCAGTACTTAAATGCAGTTATTTTGGAAAATTTCATATATGACTAATTCTTTATTCCTACAGTGATGAGGTACCAATGAATACATTTCTCACTCATGTAAATGTAAAAAGAGCATGGAAGAATGCATACAAGGAACTTAGTGTAATAGGATTAAGTCAAGTAAGTGCTTTGAAAAAATAATATTTTAAGCATTATATATTGAGTTTTAAAGGCAGTAAAATGAACAACTCGAGTATACAAATTGATGAATTTCACACACACACACACACACACACACACACACACACCCTTTTGCAGGTGACCATCATTCAGACTTCCATCACCACAGATGAGCTCTGGCTGTTCTTGAACTTCATAAAAATGGAATCATACAGGATGTGCTCAATTGTATCCGGCTCCTTTTACTCAACCTTATGTCTTGAGATATTCATCCACATTGTTTCATGTAGCTGTAATTTATTATTTCGTTGATGCATAGTATTCCTTTGTAAGAATGGGCCACAGTTTAATAAATTTGGGAGGAACTGAAAACATGACGATATGAGCTGAAAATCCTTCCCCATGTGTGCCAGCTCTTGAAAGTTAAATGATCTCATAAAGGGCGCGGTGGAAACGTTATCACCTGAAAGGGTGGAAGGAGAGGAATCTATTTCTGGGAGTGTATGTGCCAAGCCCTCTGCACGGGCTGTTCATTCAAACCGGAACCATTGCCCATGGAGGCAGCGGCCACTGTTTTGCAGATGAGGAAACTGAGCCTGAGAAAAGATTCATGACCTCACCATTGGGCTGAGCTAAACACACAAGCTGTTAGCCGTAGCAGACAGAGATCCGGTCCTGGCAAAGGTGACACTAGATGGCTGCTGAGGCTGTGCCACCTCCTTAATGAAGCCCGGGCTTTTATATAATAGCATGCACTAGTGTATGTCCTGTCAAAAGCCAGCCATTGGCCTGACATTTCTTAGGTCATCTCTCTTTCCCTTCAAAGTTTGTTTTGTTTTGAAAAGAAGGCTCCCTTGTGTGTTTTTTATTCTCGCCTTCCTTTATGAATATATTTTTTGCTTATGAATAATTTATTTTCAGATGCACATGGTATATATTCTAAAGTCTGTATTTAGAATATTTTTGAGGTTTTTCTTTTTAAAGATTAGGTATTAATATTTGTGCATAAAGATGTATTCAATCGCCATAGGAAAGGTTGGTAAATTTCAAGTTAGAATTGCTGAGAAATTTTCAGGGAGGCATATGCCAGGTCTTTCAAAATGGGGTTTGAAGTACTTTAAACTCTAACTCAGAGGGCTCTGCATACTGACCCAGTAGGTGTCAAAGTCTCTGATTCAACTGACCATCTCAGAAATGAACAAAGTTTCAAAATGTCCTTTTCATTACTATCTTCCTCGATTTTCCATTCTACAAATATATGCATTCACAATCACAAATATTCTATTCTTACTTCAAAAGTTACCACCAACTTCTAAATGTGCTTCATTTAGAATAACAAAAGGGAGCATATACCTTTTGGAATATTTTTATAGCTGTGGATGAAAGAAGTTAGGCTTTTTGAAATATATTTTTATTGATTTCAGAGAGGAAGAGAGAGATAGAAACATCAATGATGAGAGAGTATCATTGATCAACTGCCTCCTGCACACCCCCTCCTGGGGATTGAGCCTGAAACCTGAGCATGTGCCCTTGACCACAATTGAACCCGGGACCTTCCAGTCCGCAGTCCAATGCTCTATCCACTGAGCCAAACCAGATAGAGCAAGAAGTTATGTTTTTAACTTCACATTATTATCACGAGGCACATCAGTGTGACCAGGCTGTCATCTCAGGGAGGCGGCAGATAAGCTGGTGAGCCCACCCTTCGCAATGGAAGACAAGAACATATCCCAATAGCACCTCAGTCAAATATTTTAAGTCACTTCTAGAAAGAGCAAGAGATACCCAGAATCTTTGCTTCAAAAGCTTCATTATTTTCACGTTAGTAGAAAGCCCCTTGCAAAGTG